TGCACCATGGGACACTAGCCATGGGGCAGGGGAGGGGCCACCTTTCCCACCTCATGCTCAGCTTTTCCCCAGGCTCCTTCCCGGCATGGAAGAAAGCAGCCCTTCCCTGCCCCGTGGCTGGGGGCCCCTCCTGCAGCGGGCAAGGGGCCTCTCCGCCCCGCCCCCCTGCCCCCCATGCTCAGCACTACCTTGTAACCTGACCCCCCTGCCAGCCTGGGCCCCCCTCTCCCTGCTGATGCAGCCCAACCCAGCTCCATAGACCCCTGCCAGCCTGTGCCCCGCTTTGGGCCCTACCCATGCTGGCCTGGGACATTTGTCCCAAGACATTGGGACATTGGTCCCAAGATAGTGACTAGGGGCTGGGGCACCTGTCAAGGGGCAGGGCTACGCATGCAGCCCTCGACTGCCTGTCAAAACTGGGTAAGCAGCTCTCCACCCAAAATAATTGCCCACCCGTGCCCTACAAGAAGAACATGATCTTTATAGATTTTAAATTGGAGCTCTTGTTTTGATAATGTAGGGTCATTGATTTCATTGCTATAATGCAATGCAATTTATTTTTTATAGTGTACTTTACACATAGCATGTGTAATAAAATGTTCGAGAAGTTTGGAACAGAAACACAAAACATGGTAAAGTTGAATACACAGGAGAGAAATTAATAAAAGCATGAAGTCGAGTAAAAAGGACAAGTTTACTTTTAAAAGGGTTTAAAAGTGGAATTACTGTGAGGAAAGTTAACAGTTACAGGGGCAGAAGTTCAGTGTCCACCATACATTCATAGATGTTAGGGGCTGAAAGGGACCTTACCAGATCATCGGGTCCAGCCCCCCTGCACTTGGGCAGGAAAGATTGCTGGGGTCAGAAAGCAGAGTAAGATTTGAGGAAGTTAAAAACAACAAACCATTAGAGAAGAGGTGAGCATTTGAGGAAACATGGTATCAGAGACACAGGATGGAGGAGAGCACGCAGAGATTAAGTTGATCATAAGACTACTTTGAAAGCTAAGATGATGGAAGATGACTGGGAAGAAAAGTATGTACCCTTCAGCTACTATTGTGATGAGTGTGCAAGACATACACACATCTCCAAGGTTTAGAGCAAATCTGGCTACAGCAATCTGGGCTAGAGATATCTGGGAAACGAAATTTCCATTCTGCAGTATTATAAGTATTTCAACAGCCAAAAGCAGAACAGAAACCCTACAGTTTGTCCTGTTTCTTTTATTTTGAAAGCACTGAAACAAGTTTTCAAAAAACAGTTACATACTTCCTGGAATCTACAGAAATTGCTGTCTGAGGGCCCTGGCAGACATCAACATTATGGCACAATTAATGTATTAATCATGGCATAATTTGTAACATGCTACAAGTTCACCCCAATTTATGGAGCATTAAGGGGGCAAACCAGCTACAGAGAGCTCCCATTATATGTGGAACCTCTCTGGCTGGTTTGAACTGAGCCTTAAATTGAATTTGTGGCATGTACCCGTCAGACCCATGGCTGTCCTGTGTGGATTTGACTCACAGATGAAAGTCTAGATAAGCACTGGGTAACTCCAGGTCTTTAAAAACCTGAGACATGGGAACCCAAGATGGAGAAAGGATTTCTGATCTCAGGTCCCTGTGCTCCAGGCTTTTAAAATCACTGCAGCCCACCTGGGTGGCACACACTGTGCTTCAAAAGCCTAAGGTGCCAGGAACTAGGGTTTAGGCTGCTGACATCCTGGTTGCTGATATCTGGGGCTTTCACACACCTGCCCATTGGGCTTCCCTACCTAATACTTCCAGACAAGCATCTCAGTCTGCCCCTAAAGAGGCTGCCTGGTATGCAGGCTTAAAAATGCAGAGCAGAGGAAACTCCCAGGCTCCCCCTGCCAGCAGTTACAGACTCAGAGTGGGATCCCAGGCTCCACATACCTCATAGGAAGCCAAGCTGGGGACCTATCCCCAATGCTGGCCTCCCTGCACCAGCAGTTGTACAACTGGGAACTGATCCATGGTCCCAAAATGTTTGTGTGGCAAGGCAAGGGGCACAACTAGGGTTGCCAACCCTCTAGGATTGCCTTGGCATCTCCAGGAATTACAGATAAGTCTCCATGAGACTACTGAGAGTCACCCAAGAGAAATTATAGGGCATTCATTAAAATAATTATTAAATGTTGAATCTGATGTATACAGTTGTCCAGTGGGTTTTTAAGATGTAATAGTAATGTGCATTTGCCTTCCTGATGTAAATTCATTAATGTCATTACATCATGTGATGAACCTCCCAGAATAGATTCAAACAGAGTTGGCAGCCCTAGGCACAACTGTTGGGATCACAAATCAGGTTGCATTGCACCATTAAACAAATGTCTGTTAGGGGCCTAAAAGGAATATCGTTCCTACCAGTTTCATTGCTGCCCACCTCCAGATAGCAGAGGTGAACCATTCTATCAGAAAATTCCCAACCGCCTCTAGTCTAGATGCTTTCAAATTTAAGGATTAGAGGCCTTGCTTCTCCTCTCACCTAAACTAGAATTACTAGCTATAACAGGGGGCCTTCTTGGGGCATCCACCAATGCCCCACCCACCTGTTCTGGGCCAACCACCCACCTTCTCACCCGCCACACCTTGATGACATTTAATTAAGTCGTTAATTAAGCAGGAGGCTGCCCATTTCTTGCCCCGATGCCAGGGGGCGCTGTCTGCAGCACCGTTCCTCCCCTACACCACAGGGCAAGCCTTGCAGATGGCATCCACTGATGTTACTCTCACCAGCCCCACACTGGGCCCCAGAATCCGCCAATCAGGACCCCTCTAAGATCCCTTCATTCAAGCAGCCTACTCTGCCCTCATTCAGGCTACTTAGCTCCCCGAAACTATTTCCCCTCTCTGGTGTGGTCCCCCCACGGGACCTTTGGCCACACAGGCCCTGGCCTCACCTCCAAAGCCAGTTGGCACCCTAGCCCCTCAGCTCTGGGCATCCCTCACAGTGGGCCCCTGGCCCTTTTGACCAGTCTGGTCCTGGCTCCAGCATTGACCAGTTGAGGGTACTCTACATCAGGCCTATGAGCCTCTAGCCCCACTCTCTCTCTGGGGTCTGCCCTCTGGACCCTACTAGTGGGTCTGGTTGTGGGAGCTGGGGTTAAGGTGCCCCGACCCACCTTTCACTGCCAACTGGCCTGGCATTTCCTGAGGGCTCCTGTGCCACTGAGAGCCTCACCAAGCCACCCACTCCTGGCAGGGTGCAATTTTAGGTCATGCCCAGGACCATGAGCCTCCTAGCCATCCCCTACAGCTCCTCCCTTACCTCCCGGATGTTCCAAAAAGACTGACAGCCAGGCAATGTTACTGCCTGCCTGCCAGCAGCAAAATGCTCTGCTTATATAGGCAGTCCTGAATCTAAAATGGCTGCTGCAATCAGGCACCTGCTGGCTGCTTGGCTTAGATCTTAAAGTGGCAGGCACAAACAGTGCCCTGCCACACTAGCGATGTCAGCAGAATAAATCCTGATTTATATCAATATAAGTCAGGTCACAGTAAGGCCCCAGGGTTTTAAGAAATCCAAGAAAGAAGGAAAAACAAGAAAAAAAATCAGCCAGCTATTAAGCAAAGAAGAAGTACATCAGCAGAGGAAAGGTCAAGATAAGGATAAATTCTGACCATGTTGCAGAAATAATCATATACAGATTTCTACACAAGGAAGCTGTGAGAAGGAAAAGTCCAGGGTGACTTCAAGGTATTTGGCCTTGATTGCAAAAAAAAAGTAGTGGAAATACCCAAAAGGAATTATTCAGATTTTGAAATGTTTAGGTACAGGGGGTTCTCAAGCCTCTGGGAACTCACAGGATCAAACCCGGCAGATATAGCAAAGCGGTGTGAGTTGACAGAAACATAGAATTTATACACCTTTCTGGGGTCACCTGACCCCCAGTTGTCTTTTCTGCTTGGTGCAGGGGGCTGGACCCGATGATCTTCTGAGGTCCCTTCCAGCCTTCCAATCTATGAATCTATGAATCAACACGTCACCTCTTTTTTTTGGCTGCCAACATGTGTCAAGCAGCCAAAATAATACTGATTTTCAGCAGCAAAAAAAAGAAAAGGAGGCAACATTACCCCCTCACAATATCACCCCTTTGGCCACGGCTCCTTCACCATGCACTGCCCCCCACTACCCTACCCTCCCTGCTGCTGGAGCCAGAGATGCTGCAGAAAAGGTGGAAGGTGCCAGAAAGGTGAGAGACAAGAGGATGAGGCATTTCCCAACCTCCATTCCTGCACCACTACCCCTCAGGCAGTGCTTGGGGCTTGTACACCACTTGCCCACCCAGCCTTACCCTACTGGGCACCAGTCATGGTTCCATAAAGAAGGCAGAGTTGAATTTGGCTCTTAAAGAAAAGTTTGAACCACTAAATTAGGCCTGAAAGTTATACTTCCACCATGATGCAGGGAACAGCAAATGAATGTTTTCTTTGAGACTGTAAAAATAAGTGAGTCAAAACTGAAAACAGTTTCTGTAAGAAATGTAGGCCCCTGCGCAAGATTTTTTTAATCCCTAGAGGCAGTGATGATGTGTAGTGGGTGCACAGGAGTGCATGTGCACCCCCTGAGAGTGCTGGTGCTCTCCCTGACAGGCAGCACTCTCCACTTAGGCAATGGGCAGGGTGGGGCAGGCAGGAGTGCTGGTGTCCCCCCCATGAGTGCCAGCCGGGGAGTGTGAGTGCTTGGATGAAGTGCCGCGGCCACTTCCCAGGTGGCATGATTGGCCGTGGGAGGATCCTGCCCCAGTCGCTGACTGGTCACTGGTGGGGCATGTGCCCCTGCCCTGACTAAGATAGAACCAGTCGCCCATGCCTACAGGCAACTCAAGATAAGTCTCTACTGCAGGGTCACCTCATATAATTACCCAGGCTCAACTTACCATCCACACGCAAACAGGAACAGAGCAGGAATTCAAATGCACCTTCTCCTGGATCATCATTAACTAATTTACTTTGAACACAGTGCCAGATGTAAGCAGATGTGCCGCTCCTCCTACAAGGCAAACCCTGTATTCCAAGTTCTGAGATTTTTTATCATTGGAACATAGAGAGTCTCTACTGAACCTAACTATTACCATCTCTTATAACACAAGAAATAATGTGTCCATGTAGCTTGTCAAATGACAAGTATTTACACAACCATTTTAAAATACATATAAGAAATGAGTGTATTAAATATTAAACAAAAAATTCACATTTCTTCTTCATTTTTTTCCCTGTGTTCCATCTACTTCACATTCAAATTCCTTCTCTGTTCCTGCACAGATGGATTTACCCTCTACCATTCATAGTACACAATAGCTGTACTTAAGAACATAAGGATTGCCATTTACTGGGTCAGGCCACAGGTCCATCTAGCCCAGTATCCCCTGTCACAGTGGTAGAATGGATGCTAAGAGGGAGAGCAAACTGAGTATGACCAGAGTTTTCCCTCTGTTCCTCCCTTACTTGCAGCCTCCATTATTTAAGTTCTAGGAAGTTCTAATACAGAAGCTGTATCCCTAGCTCCCATGCTTAATAGCTACGGATGCCCCTTTCCTCCAAGAATGTGTTGAATCCCTTTTTAAATCTGGCTAAACTGTTAGCTTGCCCAACATCTGGTGACAATGGATTCCACATTTTAGTTGCACACAGTGTGAAAAACACCTTCCTTTTCTTAGTTTTAAACTTACTAGCTACTAGTTTCATTTTGTGACCCCTACGTCTTGTATTGCGCAAGATAGTAAATCACTATTTACTTGTTTTGTCATTTAGTATTTTGTAAACCCTTATGCACCCCCTCAAGGATCTCTTTTCTAAACTGAATAGGCCTAGCCTCTTTAGTCTCTTCTCAGATGGAAGCCCCTCCATACCACTAATCATTCTTGGTGCCCTCCTCTGGACCTCCTCTAGTTCTTCTATATCCTTGTTAAAGTGTGGGGACCAGAACTGGACAAGTATTCAAGGCATAGATGCACCATGGATTTATAGAGGACACAATTATACTTGCTGTTTGTTTACAATTCCATTCTTAATAATCCCCAACATTTTGTTTGCCTTTTTGACAGTTGCTGAGCACTGAGCTGATCTTTTAATTGAATGGTCCACAATAACTCCCACATCTCTTTCCTGTGTGGTAACAGCTAATGTAGAGTATATACTGTAGGTATAGTTTGGGTTATTTTTGCCCATGTGCATCACTTTAAAATGGTCTATATTGAATTTCCTCTGCCATTTAGTTGCCCATTCACTCAAATGTGCCAGATCCTTCTGTAGTTCCTCACAGTCTGCCTTGGTCATTATTACTTTGAGTTATGTTGTGTCATCCGCAAATTTGACCACCTCACTACTCACTTCCTTTTCCAGATCATTTATAAATGTGGTAAACCAGGGGTGGGCAAAATACAGCCCAGGGGCTGGATCTGGCCCATCAGGCCATTCTACCTGGCCCACAGGGCCCCTTAAAAATTTAGAAAATTAATATTTATTTGCTCCTAGCTGCCTGTCAAAGATGACAGGAGCCAGGAGCAGTAGGACCCAGAAGAAGCTGGTGGCAGGACCCAGCAGGTAGGCCTGCCCAGCCCTGACCCCCAACCAGAAACCCCTGCCTAGCAGGCCCTGGGCCATAGGACTGTTCCCGTTTCCCTGCGCTGGAGAGGGAAATGCGGCCTTTAACAGTTTGCCAAACCTCGGTAAGTGGCCCACCACCTGAAATAATTGCCTGCCCCTGTGTTAAACAGTGCTGGTCCCAACAAAGATCCCTGGGGGACCCCACTGTTTACTTCTTTCCATCCTGAAAACTGACCATTTATATTCATTCTTTGCTTTCTGTATTGGAGCCAATTTCTAATCCACCAATGGAAAGTCCCTGTAATCCCATGGCTACCTAATTTAGTTAAGATGGTTCTTAGTTAAGAACCTGATCAAAGGCTTTTCAGAAATCCAAATATCCTGTCACCTGGATCGCCCTGATCCACCTGCTTATTGACACCCCAAAGAACTTTAGCAGGTTGGTGAGGCATGATTTCCCTTTGACAAGGCTGTGTTGATTCCTCCCCAGCAAGTCATGTTGATCCATGTGCTGAACAATTCTTCTTTTCATTATTGTTTCTACCAGTTTTCCAGGAACAGAAGTTAGGCCTGGCCTGTAGTTCCCTGCATCCCCTCTAGAGCGTTTTTTAAATATGGGAGTCACATTGGCAACCCTCCAGTCCTCTAGTACCAAGGCTGTTTTTACTGATAGGCTGCATACTACAGTTAGGATTTCAGCAATTTCTGATCTGAGCTCCTTTAGGGCCATAGGGGAATGTCACCAGGTCCTGGCAATTTGCTACTACTGTTTCATTTAATAATTTCCTCTACAACCTTATCTACTGAAACCTCAACTTGGGTCAGCTCCACTGACTTGTCCCTAGAGAGGAGTGGATCTGGTAATGGAATTTCCCTGGCATTTTCCACAGAGATGACAAATTTAAAGAATGCATTTAGCTTTTCAGCAATGGCCCTGTCATCCTCTAGTGCCCCTTTTACACCCTGATCATCCAAAGATCCAACTGACACCCTGGCAGGTCTTCAGCTTCTAATGTACCTAAAGAAATTGTTATTATTACCTCTGTGTTCATAGCAAGTTCCTCCTCAAATTTTTTCTTAGCTTGTCTTATTACAGTTTTACATTTGCTTTGCCAGAGTTTATGCTCTTTTTTATTTTCTTCATTAGGATTTGATTTTCACTTTTTGAAAGAAGCCTTTTTTCTGCTTATTGCCACTGGGACTCTGCCATTAAAGCATACTGGCTATCTTTTGGTTTTGCTTTCCTTTTTTTTTTATTTGCTGTATGCATTTGCTCTTTGCCTCCAATATGGTGTTCTTAAGCAGTTCCTATGGTGCTTGCAACTTCTTCACCTCCTATGGGGCCCTTTATAACTTCTCTCTAACTAGTCTACCTTTTTAAAGTCAAAGGTTACAGTGGTAGATTTTCTTCTAGTCTGTCCTCCTACAAGGATGTCAAACCCAATTGCATTGTGGTCAGAATTGCAAAGCAACTCAGTAACATTGACCCTTTGCAGCAAATCTGTGCACTGCTTACTAGTGCAAGAATGGCCTTTCCTCTTGTAGGTTCCAAGACTAACTGCTCCAGGAGGCAGTCTTTTATAACATCAAGAAATTTTCTCTCTGCATCCTGACCTGATATTAGACCAATCCAGTCTATCTGTGGCTAGTTGAAGTCACCCATCATTACTGTGTTTTCTGCTGTCACAGCCGCTCTCATCTCCCTTAGCATTTCTAGCTCACTGCTGCCATCATGGTCTGGGCAG